GGTCCCCTCATCAGGAACGAATCTATGTAGGAAGGGGTTTATTCGAATCTCCATGTTAAAAAATTACAAACTATATATTTAAGATGCAATGTATTTCAAATTATTTTTGACGCATGGCAACTCTTTTTAGTTTTCTCTTATCTTCATTTTTTTCAAGTTCTAATTACTTGATGAAGATATGTATATTCGATCTTAGGACTAATGATTTAAATCTAGTTAACTAAAATAAGGTTCTAATCATCGTTAGAATAACAAACCATATATTTTCTCCCTAAAAATTATCAAATCAATAATTTTAGCTACACTAAATTAAATAACTTTACTACATATTAAGGGTTGTAGTCAACTCAAACTACAAATATGAAATGGAGAGAGATGTGATTTTTGGGGATGTTTTTGTTAATTTAGAAAGTTGATGGAAGTTAATCTTTCTTTTTCGCATACCTAATGTGTGTATAAAATATGAATATTTGCACCGATCAATTGGTGCATGGTGGGACTTGGAAGAAGACAATATCATATGGTACAATGACATTTAGTCTTTGCTTGGCCCTAATAAAATAGGAGTACTCTTTATCAGTATCATGACCTCTCGACAGGAACATTTAGTCCTCGCTTGGCCCTAATAAAATAGGAGTACTCTTTATCAGTATCATAACCTCTCGATGAGAAATGGAGCTTACATCACAAGGTAATCACATGCATGTGCAACTTGGATCCTCCTATTTATACTTGGACTTCGAATTGGATTTCTCATCAACAACAACAAACAAAAAAAAAACCCACTAGAAGTGTACAATTTGCTCCACTTTGTTGTTTCTCATGGATCTCATTTCCAATTTGTTCTATGGTCTTCCTTTACTATACATACTCTATTTAATATGGAAGATTATAGATCGAGAGAGGCACCAAAATTGTTACATTTTGGACTATGAATGTCACAAGCCAACCGATGATCGAATGCTTAGCACAAAATTTTCAGGGGAGATAATTATGAGGAACAAACACCTTGGCCTAAATGAGTATAAGTTCCTCTTGAAAGCTGTCGTTAGTTCCGGCATTGGTGAACAAACATATGCACCAAGAATGGTGTTTGATGGTCGTGAAGCATGTCCTACTTATGAAGATGGGATATTGGAAATGGAAGAGTTTTTCCATGATAGCATTGACAAGCTCTTCAAGAGAAACAAAATTTCCCCTAGTCAAATTGATGTTCTTGTGGTGAATATATCCATGTTAGCTTCTATGCCATCGATGGCTGCACGAATAATCAATTACTATAAGATGAGAGAAGACATCAAAGTGTATAACCTCACCGGAATGGGGTGTAGTGCTAGCCTCATATCACTAAATATAGTTGAAAATATCTTCAAGAATGAGAAGAACAAGGTTGCACTTCTTGTGACATCAGAGTCCTTGAGTCCAAATTGGTACGTTGGGAATGATAGATCTATGATTCTTTCTAATTGTTTGTTTAGGTCAGGAGGTTGCGCCATTTTATTGACAAACAAATTGTCTTTAAAAAACAAAGCCATGTTCAAATTGAAGCAACTAGTTAGGGTACATCATGGTGCAAAAGATGAAGCTTATGATAGTTGTGCACAAAGGGAGGATATTCAAGGTAACACAGGGTTCCACCTTGATAAAACACTACCAAAGGCTGCTTCACGTGCACTAGTCGATAATTTGAAACAAATTGCACCCTTGATCCTTCCAATAAGGGAGCTACTTAGATATTCAATCGCGATATTTATGAAAAAAATGAATTGGAGCTCAACAAAAGGAGGGCCTAAGATCAATTTCAAAACAGGTGTAGATCATATTTGTCTACATACTGGAGGTAAAGCAGTAATTGATGGTGTTGGTGCAAATTTGAACTTAAGTGAACATGATTTAGAGCCAGCAAGAATGACATTACATAGATTTGGTAACACTTCAGCAAGTAGCCTATGGTATGTGTTAGGGTATATGGAGGCTAAAAAAAGGTTAAAGAAAGGTGATAAAATGCTTATGATTAGCTTTGGAGCTGGATTTAAGTGTAATAGTTGTTTATGGCAAGTGTTAAGAGATTTGGATGATGGGAATGTGTGGAAAGATTGCATTGATAATTATCCACCTAAAACTATAGTGAATCCTTTCATGGAACAATTTGGATGGCTACATGATCATGAAGATCCACATACTTTCATTATTCCAGATGATTATGTTATCTCTTGAGTTTTGTCTTTTTTTTCTTGCTTGAGAAAGAACAATATCATACTATTATTGTTCTTAGTATTTTAAGTACTACTTTTCTTATTAGTTACATACATTGTTGTTGGTTTAAGTCAGCTTAAAGATATTATTGAGTGTTGTGTCAGGCTTTGAACCAAATATGCAAGTAAGTTTTTTAATAAAAAATATTTATCAGGAAGGATTTTTTATTTATTTTTTTGTGTTTGATAATTAAATGTGATGTAGACACTATAGTTTTAGAGATTTCATAATTTGTATACAATTTTGGATGGTCTACTCTTTACCTATACTACTCATTTTATAAAAAAAATTGTTGTCCCAATTACCTTTAACTATGACTTAATTCCGCTAGACAAATATTTTGAGAGAATATTTTCCCTAGAGCATAAGTTTAATTCTATTTAATTCGCAAGGCAAACACTTATCCTTAATATTAAAAAAATAAGTTGTTTGGCACATGTTATGCATATAAACACACGTTCATATTATTGTACATATATATATGCATGCTCCAAGACATTAGTTATGACAAATAGACATAATTCCCTGTATAAATTTTTTAAGGTATAATGTTCTAAAACTAACACGTCCAAATTTACAAAAAAAACTTATGCCATTACATCCAAGATGTCTAAAGTAAAAAAAAAACAAAAGAGGCAAAGCCATGGGTTATATATATGTCTTATAAGGTATAAGTTCAGTACTGTATGATCTTTTTAAAGTGTAATATTCTAAAATTGAACTTGTGCTTTATATGACATAATTTGTGTTCAATGAATTCTTTTTTTGTCTTGTGATTTATTTGCTTTGATATTAGGGATATTTTTGTCTGCATTTTTATTACTTAAAAGTGTTGAAGGAAAAATACTAAAGACCGCAAATCCTCCACCAATCAGAGGCAGACCCACCCATTTAGTGTGAATCTGCTAACTTTAGAAAATATCACGTATATATATATATATATATAACTATTTCGAGAAACTGATAGAAATTAAAAAATAATAACAGCGCACCCATTAAAAGTGTAAGAGTGTCATTGCATTGTTGGTACAAGCTAGAGAATCAACTCATAAGACCTGCGTTTGAATTTAGCTTGAGTGTTTATTTCATTGTTCTTATTTTAAGTTTATCTTAAAACTCATATTTGAGCTAAAATAATATTAAATATTTGAGCTAAAATAATATTAGTGCACTCAAAATCTTCAAATCTTAAATTCACTTTTGGCGGAATCGATTATTCCCTCAAACTATATATGTATACCGAGTACTGACCCCTCAAACTATATAAATACTGACTCACTGATTTCTACCCTACTTCCCCTTAAAGACATTTATTTTGTATTATGATTTGGTATATGTCCAACTAAGACAATTTAAGATGCGCATGACAAACAAACCTGCAATGTCCAAACTAATCCCGACAATACCACTGCAGCAATAAAAGTTATTGTACCAATCCCGGTTATGGTTGAGTGATACGTATCTTATCATCGTTTATTAAAGGTTTCAGGTTCAAGTCTTAAATTTAAAATCATCATAGTTAATTGAAAAGTATTTATAAATTCTATTACGTACGATGCGAATATAATAAGAAAAAACCATCAAAGTTGTGTGCCTTATAAGTCCTATTCTTAGAAATTTAGTTTGATGTTTGAAATTTGAAACCTAATTTTTTACCTCCCAACCAATTCTTCCTTTAATGGCTATGCTCTCCACTTGGTGATCAGACACTGTAATTATTAGTAGGTCCTTGTACTTTCTTCTGATAGATAAATGGATAGAGCTTTTCTGAATATGTAGGCCAACCTTTTCCAAGTTGACATGGAATAATGTTGAGCAAGTAGCAAAGCATAATCCCTAGCAACTCGTTGTATCGGCCTTTCGCTCATTTATTGTTATCACAAGATAATTCATTTAATTTGCATACAAACATTCTTACCTAAGAAGCAAGGCATGGATCATCGTAAGAAAGGAATGGATGCTATTAATTGATTGATCTCGATCTATATATTTGACATATCGTACGATGAGGTTTTGTTAATTCGAAGGAGGTACAAATTCATAACATACTAGCCTTACAAATAATTAAAAACTTTAAATTATTAGAGATAACACATTTTTATCTTTTTTTTAAAAAAAAGAAATATGAATTAGTGACAAATAAATTTAATAGCTAAATAACAAAATTCGTAATTAATATCATGATTTAACGAGCAATAAAGGTTTAAAAAAGATAAAACTTGTACTTGTCAAAAGAGGAGGTATTTACACCACTTCTATTGATTATTATAAGGAGGTCATAGGAATAACACCTTTCAAATTTCAATGTAAGAAGCTAAGATTGTGAAGTCTCATTCCTCCATTTACTAAGACGTTAGACACTTGAGTAGTACTACTTGTGTCAATTTCATTTAATATCAATACTAGCATTTCTCAATCATCAAAATATTGGTTAATGTAACTTCTTCCTTTCGAAGTGGAAAAATCACTAAATATCATACCGATCAAAAAGATGATTTACTCAACATGTATTTTATGAAAAAAAAATACAATTTAATTTCTTTTGAGTTATTTTGATTTCAGACGAGCAAAATATTTAATTTATAACTGTGATATAGATAAATACTAAGTAGATAGTATTTCATATATTTAATATGAGAATATGCAAATAAAAACTCTTAAAAACAGGTTGAAATTGATTTTGAAGTGGCTAAACTTTAAACCTTCATAATTTGTTGGCTATTATTTAAATAAGTCCAAAAAACAGTTACTTGTGGCACTTCGCCCCGTAAAACTCGAACTACACCCAACCCGGCTGAGGCCCAGTAACTCATCTTCTCCTACCATTTCACTGTAATTTGATCAATCGAGCGTTTCTCTGTGTGTTCAATCGGAGAAAACAAAATGGAGGAGAAGCTCAGCTGTGATGGAGGTCACGAATTCAAGCTGCTATTCTCATGTCCTTCTGGTTTATCTCCTTCACAGGTTAATTTACCTTACTTATGTCTGTTTTTTTTATTCTGTATGCTCTTTTTTTGTGATCTGAATTTGTTCATTTGGTATAAGGTGTCAGTTGTTTTCGATGAAGTATACGATAGGATTCCCCATACGGATCATACTTTGGAGAAGTCCATTTCTGAGGTTCTGTTACATTCTCCTTCTTTTCGTGTTTCTGGATTCATAAGTTAAGACTAGTTATTTTTAGTATGAAAAGTACAAAGGAAAATTTTGTAGCTTCTTTACCATGTGTAATCTACCTGCTGTACTGAGCTGGTGTGTACTCATCAATTAATGCTGCTTAGTTTGTTCCGAAAAGAAGGAATAATAGGACGAAGGAGTACGAGCCGTGAGGTTAATGCTAATTGTCAATATGAAATTTGACGTTGATTCCTTGTATTTTTCGTGTTAAAATTAGACGTAAAGTACTATATATCAGAGTCTTTTAACAAAAGATGTGCAGGAAACATTTGAAAAGTTCATAGTCAAGATAAAATGTTTGACTTCCAAATAGTTATGGTTTCATGCAACAAGAAACAGAAAGCATATTTCACCAATGATACTAACTTTTGCTGATTGTTGGAATCATTCCTGATTGAAAGGCCAAATATCAAAATCTAGTTTTCTCGTCAATAGTCTGTACGATCAAAAGTTATAATTATCACTTGTACAAACACCAAATTTGTTCTGAATCTTTTGAATGGTGTAAGGTTTGTTAGATATGGGATGCAAGAGTTGAACAAAGTTCATCACTTTACAATGGAACAAAGTTCAGGGTATGCTGCATGCTTTTGCCATTGCATATGTTTTACTTCTAAAATACTGAATAACAGAGTGTTTGACTAATAGCTGTTCAATCTAGATTTTGGACAGTTAGTGTTTGTCACTCACTTTTATGACCACAGTGGCTACTCACTTATAAGAGAGTATACCTGGTCATTTCTCGTTTATCAGATTCACCCAATAAGCTGCATATCCTTGATTTATTCCTCTTAAGTTTTTCTTCTATATGCTGATTTTACAGTATGGTGGGTACAACTTCAATGTAGAGAATGATCCCAAGCAACAACCTCATGTTTCCCTTCATCTTGGTCTGACAGATTATAGGTTCTTCTCTATATTTCTCCTTCTTCTTTCCTTCCTTCCATTATCATTTCATTTAAGTATGTGATTTTTCATTTGATGTGCATGTGATGGAAAACTATAATAATTTACTCTGCCCAGTGCAATTCGGACAAGCTAATTTGTTGTCCCAATCTTGTCTCCAGAACGTCTGAACCATGAATCATTCAATGAGATTTGTTCTTTAGAATACCCTATTTCTTGTAGTTGGGAATCAACATTAATTACACCAGGCAGCACATTGAATCCTCCCCAGCCCATTTTTTTAGTTTCTCCACATTTCTGGTTGACATCTGCAGTTAGTATTGCCGACATCACCGGTGTTTTAAAAAATACGTATTGCAGAATGAAGATATTGATAGTGGTGACGGCATATTAACACTCTGGAATCCCAAATTAAAACTCTTTTCTTACCAGAAAGTGTCTGCTTAACTTTCAGCGTAGTTGTGGAAACTTCAAGATTTTCTATTTTACTGATTCTTCTTTATGCTGTTTAGGCACTACTTTTTGCAAGGGATACCATCTACTGTAAAATGGAGAATTAGATCTTTGGTGTTGTATGCTCCATGTCTTGAAAAACTAGGTTTACTTTCTGAAGTTCTGCCAAATTGTTTTCATACATATCAATCCTCCTTTAATTTGTCATCTTCCCTGATTTCAATTGTATATTTACTCATCAATAGCTATATGAGGCATCTTCCATACCACTGTTTATGTTCTTTATTTGTGTTGTTAAAATCTTGGGGTCTGAAAAACGAGAACTTGTAAATGTCTGCCATGTGCCGTCTACACTTTACTTGTATCCATGCATTTACTTGTATAGTGGAAGAGCGAAAAATAGAGGATAAAATAATCTTCTAACATTTGAAAAAAAATTCTCATCAGGACATTCGTGGGAACAAATTTAAGTCCTATGTGGGAAAGATTTCTTGTTCCATCTGAAGGTAAGCTTCCAATGATATACAATTGGTTGTCTGCCTTCCTTCTTACTGTTGGAAATGATTGTACTTGTACCTTTTATATGTCCAACATAACTGCTATATTGACATTATATCGATAATGCGGAAATAGAAAGAGACCCTAAACTCTAATAACAAGAAATAAAGGATAGAAGATAGACACAAGTAAGGAACTAATCGACAACAATGGTTATATGAAAGCCAAAACCTACAATTAAGAATCCAAAAACAAGCACCAAATCTATAAGATAACCCTCAAGAGGCGATTAATTCTTCGAGCAAGCAATTTACCTGAGATAACCCTCAAGAGGCAATGAAATCTTCAAGCAAGCAATCCCAAACATTGTTTAGCAACATAGGCTGTAGCCCCACTCCCACAAGAATTCCGCTCTTCCAATTTATATAATCTCAAAATAATCCAAGTCTAAATGAGATATTCTCCTCTATTTGTAGTCCAGGCTAGCTATTACATAAATGCCCAAAATGAAACTTAAATATTTACAGAAACAGCCCAAACGGGCTGCCAGTGTAGTATGCGACGTAGCTTGCAGCGTCGCATCTCTCTCTTGCGTCGCATCCTTCTACACAACTCCAAAAGCGAGCCTTAAAGTTTTAGGCTGAATGTGACTTGAGGTGCAGTCACATCAAGCTTAGAATCTCATATCGCAAGCGAGTCCTTCTCCCTGCTCCAAGTATTCCTCCAAGTGGAGTTCTGTACTTCCATTTCATCAGGGTTTTGAGCTTCAGGCCTTCATTCCATGTTCCTTCCAAGTCTCTGAAGTAGCGAGTTGATGCAAAGCTCTTGAATCCCTTAGCGCGGAGTGGTGTGCATGCATCATATATGAACTGCAATATAACCACAACCTTTTTCTTATTTCTTGTGGTTTCCTCTTCTTTTCTCTTTTAAACATTCCAAAATCAATCTGCAGCTAATTTGAATTTTGATGCCTTAAGAATTTTAAAAGGATGCAATTTCTTATGTGATGCAACATGGCGTGACATTTCAGAGAACCGGCAGTTCGAGTACTCGAAAGGGGATGAATATTATTCTAACTGATATTCCAGGTCGAAAACCTATTTTTCATTTGTAGTAAGAGATTTAATTGGTTTCCTGCAGATGACTGTATACAGTGTCAGCACACATCAAGTCCTCTTGGTAATGGTGCAGTTGTGGAGACTTCTGACAGAAGAATACTTGTGCTTCAGAGAAGTAATAAAGTTGGAGAATTCCCTGGATATTTTGTTTTTCCTGGAGGCCATCCAGAGGTATCTCACTTCATGTAGTAAGGACAACTTTGATTGGTAATGAATTTCTGATAAATATAAGCTTTCACAATTCAAAATGGGAGGGGCAAAAATGGTTGCAACCCAACAAGCTACTCTTAACAATTTCATGTTGAAAATAACTTCTGGATAGACGTTTTAACTGAAAAGTAATTTTAAGTTGGGTAACTTGTCATCTGTATTTCCTTAACTTCACCTGCTTTTAAGAAATCAGCAAACTATTCTGTATAGGGTTATTTAATTAGAATATCGCCTAAGAGATTTTGAATGTGTGACTGCTTTCATGCAAATAACTCTTGTTTTATACCAAGATTAAGCTGTGGATTCTTTGTTTACAATGACCCAAATATGTCCAGGTAATTAGCAATGCATGGCATGATTATATTTTATTCTTTTAACAGCCCCAAGAAGTCGGAATAATCTCCCATGAAGGCTTCCAAGAGCTGAATCAATGTCACATGATTAACAGCAAAGTTTCTCAGGAAATGTTTGACAGCATTGTCCGTGAAGTTGTTGAAGAAATTGGAACTCCTGCAGATTCCCTCGTAAGTGGTGATTTTCGTTACCCTAATCGCCATCGTTCTTTCTTCCTTTCATGTATGACCTTTCCAATTTGTTATAGGAAGTAAAAACACTAATTGGGAGAAAGGCTGCTTCCTTGTTAATAGTGATACTTCCGACCTTTTCTTTTATTTTATTTTCTCTCTTCTCTATTATTTATTTGATCCTTTTCTTCTTTTATTTTTCTTGGGGTGGGGGGGTGGGGGTGTATTTGACTTTTTCTTGGTCTGCAATTTGTGAGGATGATGATTAAGTTTATTATCAACTCTTTTTTAAACTTTCCACTTCTCACTCCTCTATCCGTATAAGCATGTAATTCCTAATACTCAGAAATTTTGGGTGGCAGACTAGTGAAATGTGTCTATTTTGTAGCGTCTTATCAGGCCTCAGCCTGTATATCATTCTGGGTAATTATACAAAAATAGCATAATCACGTCGGATCTTGAGAATTATAATATTGGTGGTGTTGTCAATTTGTCACATACAAATCTTTATATGATCATCTATTTCGAGTAACACGTAGTTATGATTTCTCACTTGATTTGTCAGTAAGATATACCTCAAAACTTTCATCTCTCAATTAACTGTCACATTACAAACATGATCTTTTCATCCGTGACGGGAATTATTTAGGGAACTTTGATATATGACAAACATAATTAGCTAAGTAGGAAATTGTTTGAGCATTACAACATGTATTACTTTTTGTGTGTTTTGGGGGTTAATATTGTCATCTAAAGGTTAACTTTTACAAATGTAGTATACGTAATATGTAGGATACATGGATTATCAGCTGCAAAATAAAGTTGTATTCATAATATGATCAGTTGGAGACTGGTAAATTATTTATGAATATGGCTCTCTGCAATTCTTGAGAGGTGGTTGTTTTTACGTGCACACTCAGATGCCGTTCCTATTGATAAGATTGCATCATATTTTGTAGAAGCCATCTAACTCTTGTTCTTTATTCTTTATCTGTGATGTTATACTCAGTCCAGCCCCATCTTTATTGGTATATCCAGAAGATTATTGAATGTCAGACCAACTGCTTTTTTCTTCATCAAATGCGATCTTCGGTCAGATGAAATTCAACTACTGTATTCTAATGCACAGGATGGCTTCGAGTCAACTCAGCTTTATGCTGTTTCAATGGTTAGTTTAACAAATTGTTAAATTAATTCTCGTAAATAGTCTTATCTCTTAATTTTTCCTTAACTTATGTATGGAACCACTTTTGTTGAGCTCCGTGGAGCTTAACCTAGCGGAAATCGAGGGGGGTGGGGGGAAGAGCATCTCAGCATGTGAGTGTTCCGGAAAGGCTGGAGCTATATAGTTAAAGTGGGAGCCAATTGGAGCTTGTAGTTAAAGTTGGAGTCTTTCAGATTCCTTCTGGAAACTTGTAGCATCAATGTCATCTTTGCAATCATATAGAACTCCTGTCGCTCATAGAATATTCATAAAATGTTTGATTCATCCCAATTTTGTTGTGATTTGCTATTTTTAGTTTCTTTAGAATAGAAATAAATTATTTGTAACATGGAGCTTATTTCTGAGTTAGTGATAATTGCAAATCTATCCTTTGGTTCTACCTTACAGCTCCACAATGCTTGATCCTGGTGTCTTCTTATTCAAAGCATCACTCAAACCCTTAAAATGGATGAGATCCTTCTAACCAAAACAATCCTCTACCCTTCTGAGCATGAAATTGCATAATATGAACCTTAGAGGAATTTTCTTTCTGTTCTATCTGGGGCCATTTAGCAGCTAAAGCTTGCATTGTATTTGTCATGCGAAGTTTCAGTTTGAGCATTTTAAGACTGTTGTTCATGTGCTGGACTACTTTACTATTGTTTTGTTTATGATTTACGGACATCACCAGCTCATATTACTTATCCATGACTTAATTTCCTACTCTTTCTTTTTTGTCAGAGTGATCTAGAGAACATGGCTTCTAAAATGCCTGGCTGCCACAGAGGAGGCTATGCACTCTACAAATTAATGGTACAAGGCACAAGTGATAGCTTATCACATCCTTTGCTGAATGAGAACTTTGTAGCCTCTTAATCTCGTCTGCCTGATTTATTCATGTTTGTCTCACAGTCGTTGAAGTTCAATCACATCAAGGCAAGTGATAGGTAATCACATCATTTGCTGAAAGAGGAATGTAGCCTCTTAATCTCTTGTATGCCTTATTTATAATGCGTTTGTCTCACATTCCTTGATGTGTTATTTCATTGATCAAAAGAAAAGTTCCCATGGAAATCCAAGTGAGCTAACATACACAGATTATGTAATTTTTTCATGTCGAATGACAAGCAAACACATATGCCTTTGCTTCTTTACTTATTTTTGTTTTATGAATTGATTTATTCGAATATTGACTGCCCGTTTCTCTTTGACTTGTTCTCAAGGTTCATGTACTGACTTCTAACGTCTGGACCAAAGAATTGTCAAGAACATCGTCATGTCTTTTAATTTTATGATCTAACAACATATTGTGTGTGTTGTGTTAGAATTAAATTTCTAGCCTAAAAGGTTTATTCCAAAACAATCAATTTCGTAAAAGCAGTAGAGTCAAGTTGTCACCAGGCAAATTACGTCAATTATATCCAATTTTCTAAATCAATTTCTGGTTTCCTTCGCATGCAAAATCCATCACACCAACAAGTTACATGTTTCTATATGAGCTTTTTAAAATAATACGAAAAAGAAATCAAAGTTTTTATCACCCCAATGAATTGAAAAAATTATGTTAAACATCTCATCTTCGGTTGTGGGTCGAGTCAACTCCAATCCTCTTTGACTTCCCAAGGGAAAAAATAAACAATTCAAACCAAATACCATTCGGATTATTTTTCATTTTTGAAAACTGAAAATATTATGCCCTTTTTCAAATATTTCATGATGTCTGTCTTTCTATATTTGGAGTGATGTGTCTAAAAAATTACAGCACAGATATATGTGTGTGGTGTCTAGACCTTCTGGTAATATGGTTAGTGAAACTATTGACCAACCAAAGGAAGCAAATTTTTTTCTTCAGTTTCATCTCAAATTATTTAAAAACAAATAATATTATAATAATAATAATAAACCATTAATATTCTTAATGTGAAATTCAATATTCAAATCATCACCACCAACTTCAAATTAAAAAAAAAAAAAAGTTCCATTCTTTTGGTTCTTTTTTTTTTCTCTTTTTGTTCAAGAACTCAGGGTGGTGGTTCTAGTTTTTCTTTTAGTTGTTTAATGCATGTCCTTTTTAAGAAGCTTATCTTCCATTTCTAAAAACCAATATACAAAGGTTGTTTAATTTCATCATAAAAAAGCTTTCTCTTGGAGGGGTTCTTGAAATTATATCAAAAATATTGCAAAAAGGTGGAGGGCTTTTTCATGCCCAGGTGAAAAAAATTCCCTTTTTTCTTTGTCTTTATTTGATGGTGTTGTATACTTAAGGAATGAAAACAAGACATAGGATATCTGGTACTTGTTGTTGGTGGGAGGTGACGGGTATTCTGGCCTAGGAAAAATATAATCTAAAAGCTTCATTTTTTGTTGATTGCTGGCTAGCTAGTGTAATGGAATTCATGAATTAAAGATTGAAAGTGAAAGTCTTTTCTTCATGTGGAAAAAAAAATGTTTAAAATTTTTTTGTTGTTTTCAGGCTATTGATAATATTAGTGAATTTTTGCTTTTGATGAATCCAGGAATGTGTGATTATCCAATAAAGTTTGTTTCTTGAAAGTTTACTAGAGTTGAAAAACATGATTTGTTGATTTAAGTGTTGTGAGGGAACAAGAATACATAGCATATTGGGAACTTTTAATAAGATGGAGACACCAGCAGCTCAGCCAACTACACCCCGGAAAAAGATGACGAAACAATTAACAGGGAAACGCGATGATAGTGCCTTGCATTCGGCAGCTAGAGCTGGAAATCTTGTTGCAATCAAAAATACTATCGAGGAAACGGATGAGGAAGAATTGGCAGAGTTATTGATAAAGCAAAATTCAGCTGGAGAGACACCTTTGTATGTTGCAGCTGAATATGGTTACTATGAGGTGGTTAGGGAGATGATCATGTACTATGATCTCGTTGCAGCTGGAATCAAAGCCAGGAACGGCTTTGATGCACTGCACATTGCTGCCAAACAAGGAGATTTAGGTAAGCTGTCAATGTTCCATCAGACGCGTATCTAGGATTAAATCTTTAATGTTCTTAGCACTAAATTCATTCTACTTTTGAAGTATTGGGTTTCAAAAATTGAAATTTTCCATGTCAAAAATACTGAGTTTAGTTGAACTAAGCTAGCTAGGTAGAGCATCATTTTAGCCTTTTCCATTTTCTGATCTCTAAAAAAAGGTAATCTGGTGCAATAAGCTTCAGCTATGTGTGGGGTTGATTTATGGAAGGGCCCGAATACGATGGTCTATTGTATCCAGCCTTAACCTGCATTTCTACAAAAAAAATTCCACAACTCGAACCTGTGACATTCTGGTCACTTGGAGGCAACTTTACCTATTCTGATGTCTAGTTTATGAATTTTTTGATGAACTAGCTTGTTCATTTTTGGTAATGTTGCAGATGTGGTGAAGGTATTGATGGAAGCACATCCCGAGCTTGCTATGACTGTTGATGTAGTAAATACAACAGCTTTGCATACTGCAGCGAACCAAGGGCACTTAGAGATGGTGAATTATCTCTTGGAGGAACAAAGCAGTTTGGCCACTATAGCTAAAAGTAATGGGAAAACCGCATTACATTCTTCAGCAAGAAATGGACATTTGCAGGTTTTGAAGGCTCTTTTGAGTAAGGAGCCAGGGATCGCAACGCGGATGGATAACAAGGGACAGACCGCACTTCACATGGCTGTCAAAGGACAAAATCTCGAGGTTGTAGAGGAGCTCACTAACGCTGATCCTTCATTACTTAACATGGTCGACAATAAGGGAAACACACCTTTGCATATAGCGTCTCGTAAAGGAAGGGCTGAGGTATGTTTCATTTAAAACTTCTTTCTGTAGCTGATGTTAGATGGGAAAACAGTACTTACAGAATAATATGAGAAAACGTCTGCGCGAAGTTTGTGGAAATGTCATTTATCACGCATGTAAATATGAGACACTGAATCCTAGGTCTGCTCTCTGTGCCCGGGACAGAAAACGAAAGCTGTACAATATTGCTGATCTTTTCGTGTGTTTCACTTAGAGACGAAAATTTACACTCTTTTCGTGTCTACATGTGTTATTAGCATGTCATGGATGTAGTCCTTGCACTTGAACAACTTACTTCATATTTGATCCAAATTGTTGATAGTATAAATTAAGAGTAATTGTTGATCACTGAGGAGAACTAACTTGTTTTAAGCTTATGCAGGTTGTTAAGTTGCTGCTCTCACAGAACGAAACAGACACGGAAGTTATCAATAGGTCACATGAAACAGCTCTAGACACTGCTGAGAAAATGTCACAGGCTGACACGGTAGCCATCCTGCAGGAATATGGGGTTCAGAGTGCCCGAGTGCTAAAGCCACAGGCAACGAATCCAGCTAGAGAGTTGAAGCAAACCGTTAGTGACATTAAGCACGAGGTTCACGATCAGTTAAAACACACAAAACAAACTAGAAGACGCATTCAAGGCATTGCCAAGCGGTTGCACAAGATGCACAGAGAAGGGCTTAACAACGCGATCAACTCAACCACAGTTGTAGCTGTACTCATTGCCACAGTTGCGTTTGCAGGAATATTTCAAGTGCCAGGGCAATACTATATGGATCCGACCAACCTCCCAGCGGGCCATATAATTGGAGAAGCAAACATATCAAACCACCCTGGATTCCTGGTGTTCTTTGTCTTTGACTCAATCGCGTTATTCATTTCACTAGCAGTTGTGGTAGTGCAGACAACAGTGGTGGCTATAGAGAGCAAAGCAAAGAAGAAGTTGATGGCAATCATAAACAAGCTAATGTGGGTAGCATGTGTGTTTGTATCAGTTGCATACTTGGCTCTATCTTTTGTAGTCGTTGGCACGCGTTATTGGGTGATGGCAGTTATTGTAACAGTACTCGGGGCAACTATAATGGCTTCAACAATTGGAGTAATGTTATATTGGGTCATTAAGCATCGCATCGAGTCATCCAACAAGAAGAGCATGAGAAGGAACTCTATGGAATACTCTGATTCAGCCCTCTCTGATGACAACAATGAATTCAAAATATATGCCTTATAAAATGTAACTTTTTTGTTTCTTTGACAATTGAGCTTTGTTTTTGCTGCAAAAATTTTGAGACTAGTACTTTCTTTACACTACTTTTATATGGTGGAAAATTTTGAGACTAGTACTATGTTAACACTACTTTTATATCGCTTCAACCTCCAACTATGATCTTCGATCTAAGTTCAAATTTTTAGAGTTACTTTAGAGAAGGATTTTTGTTCGATAATACCAACTACATAGTACTTTATAGTAGAGGATGGAATTTTTATAATAATGATGATGATAATTGATGTTGCAAGAGTAAGTTGTGTCTCTTATGTAATTTATATACAATTAGAAAATATTTTTAAGTTGTCTTTAGAATTTTCATGATCAAATCTTGATTTTTTTTAAATATAATTAATAAATAAATAAAATTTTCATGGTCTTATTTACTTACATCACAATTATTTTTGTTATACAAAAAGGTAAATTTAATCCTTTTTACTTGTATGTATAAAGAGTGAAAATAAATGGGTAGGGATTTAGGTTAATTCCATTTCTTTTGTTATATAAACAAAAATCTTAGTGTTGTACAAAATTGAAGCAAAATGGATGAAGAATTGCTGGAATTGCAGAGACAATTTGAATTTGCACAACAAGTAAAATCTACAGTTCGATTATCAGACCGAAATGTTGTCGAATTGGTCCAGAAACTCCATCAGCTCCAAATCATTGACTTTGATCTCCTTCATACTATCTCCGGCAAAGAATACATCACTCCGGTACCATTCGGTCTATCTGACTTTTTTTTAAAAAAAGATTGGATTTTTGTAGTTGTAAGTTGAAAATCATTCAAGATTTTTTTAAGAGTAGCGATATATTGTTATGTTTGTAAATGGGTATTTTGAATTTTGTTTATTGGTATTGTTTAACTGTAGTTACGTGGGTGTGTTATAGGACTTGGTAGCAGTTGAGAATTGAAGTGGTGGCATAAGGGGTTAATTTTATCTAAATTTGTGGGGAAAAAAAGTGATTTTTATGGTGCTGATATTTATTTCTGCTTATATATGTGGATTTTGTGATCTTTCTTCATTGGGTGTTGTTTAATTGTAGTTATATATGGGTGTATGTTAGGAGCAATTGAGGAATGAAATTGTGGCAGAGATTAACAGACTAGGACGTGTTTCGTTGATTGATTTAGCTGATTCTACGGGGGTGGACTTGTACCATGTTGAGAAACAAGCTCAGTATGTAGTATCCCATGACTCATCCCTCATGTTAATTAATGGGGAAATTATTTCGAGTACTTATTGGGATACAGCAGCTGAGGAAATAAACGAAAGACTTCAAGAATGTAGCCAAATTGCCATTGCTGAAATAGCAGGACAACTACAAGTTGGATCAGAGCTAGTAGTATCCATTCTTGAACCTCGTCTTGGGACTTTGGTAAATATCTGTCTTTTTCTGTGTAGAAATTTAGGGTTGACGTTATGTGATCAAAGTTTTGATATGTTTGTATGGAATATTTAGATAAAAGGTAGGCTTGAAGGTGGGCAGTTGTATACACCCGCCTATGTTGCTCGTGTAAGTGCAATGGTCCGTGGTGCAGCTAGGGGTATTTTTGTCCCAATGAACACAACAGCATTATGGAACTCCTTGCTGACTTTACTCCAAGAGATGGATGGAGCTGTTGGTGTTGCTGTTGACACTTCATTTTTCCAGTCCTTGTTTAATGGCTTAGTGAAAGAAGGCGAGATTCTCGGCTCTCTTCGTGCAGGAGTTCATTGGACACCTTCAGTATGTGACCTAATTTATTATGTATTGAATTTCATGCTCGTCTTTGCACTCTTTGTTTGTGTGCAATAACTTTGTTATTCTACCTTTGCTCCATTTCTTCAGGTCTTTGCCATAGCACAAAAGGACTGTGTAGATTCCTTCTTTTCGCAGGTGGGTATCTGTACTGCTCTGCTAGTAATGTTGGATCTAAAGTTCTAGTTACTTTGCTTTGACATGAATTTTTTCCCGGATGTGGTCCAGTAGTACTTGTTGCTGCACCTTGTTTCTTTGAAGAATTTATATTAATTCCTTCATGAATTTCTTAACAGAAGTTATTTTTAGTGGCTACTTTTTTTTCGGCTGTATTCATTTATTTTTGTAGTTAGATGAAATCTCCTGGACAAGTTCAAACACCTGAATGTTTCAATGGCTTTGCGGAAAAAAACAATCACCTAGATGCTCTTACCTTTACTGAGACTATACATATTTTGGCTTGAGAGGCATATACATTTCATTAGAAATGTTATCTTGAGAAAAAGTGAGCATTTGATGCCAAGTGATTAGAACAAAAATTTTGCGTCCCTCAGAGAAAGAAAACTTGGTATTATATATAACCTGGTAAAGCTTTTGTAGACATATCGTTACCAAATAGAAGACAATTCTTGAATCTCCAAAAAAAATGTTCTCTCTTTCCTTCCCGGACTTCTAAATGTTTTCTCCATTTCTTCCCAAACTTCTTAATTCTTTCTTCTAGAGTCTAGACAATATAAGATATTTCTTCTTAATACAAACTTTAATAGAGTTTCACAAAATAACATCCAGAAAATCTTGTAAGAAAAGTGCCATATATTACTTATCATGGCATACTTTTTAGGATAGAGAAGTGAAAGGCGGGGGTTTAGATATTGATCTTCTTAAGGGATTATATATATCCCTTTGTTTTTGGTAATGCAGAATTCTTTTGTAACTTATCAAGCTCTGCAAAAACTCGGGATTCCACAACCTTCTCAATTCCTGCAGGTATTTTGCGTTGCCTTTTCCTAGTTGCATATGTTCCTTGAATTTTTATCTAATTAAGTTCTGGTCATGAATGCCACTTTAGTCCAGATATCCAGATGGTATATCTCTGGACTCAACATTTGCTCACCCTTCTATAATTGAGATGCTGGATGCCGCTGTTGAGGATGCCATAGAACGTAATAGCTGGTAAGGGTCCATAAGTAGGAAAAGTTACCTTCACGTACTTAATTTAGAAATGTGCGATGAACTTAATCTGTAAAAGTTGTCTCTGTTATTTGTGCAGTTCTAATCCATCTGAACGAATAAGTAGGATTTACTCTTTTGAATGTTCTTATGTTAGAAACCATAAAATTTCATCTTACATCTTAGAACATAGTACCATCCAACATCTAAGTTGGTACTTTGAAAGGAACAAGTGGTACTGTTTCATGCCCTTCTCATGTTTTCATCTGTTCATTGAACATAAATACTGTCATTTAATTGGGAGTTGTGTGTACAGAGTAGAAAGATGACATCTGTTGACACTTTTACGAACAACATTTTCCGAAATATGAAAGTGTACGCACAGCCTGTTTGTACAACACATTTAGCGGGTTGAACTTCATCTATGGTTTCTTATGTATGATCTATTTTTATGAGTTTGTGCTCCTTTCAACTTAACTCAATAAACGATCTTGGCTTGGCCACGTAAAACTTCACTACAGTCCCTGCATTGCAGGATAATGCATAATTTGACATTTTGGGGATTTTAAATTGTTGCAGGATTGATTCGCTTTCAGTTTTACCCGCTTCCTTTGGTAGCCAAGATGCATTTAAGATTTTGTCATTATGTCCATCAGTTCAAGCAGCACAAAAGGTGATGCTTCCTTGTTCCTCTTGTACACGTATCTTAGGTTTTATCCTTGTTGTATTCGTGTGCCAGTGATTCTCACGTGGGTGTACTTTTTGCAACCTTTTTTTCGGGATAATGCAAACCTTTGTAGAAGCAGAACCATTCCAAATATGTAGTGCATGAGAATTGTCCACTGACAATTTATAGAGAATTATTTTCTGACGTGATCTCATAATCTTGGTTTTGCTTTTTCAGTCAAATAGAGCACTTATCTTGGGAGATACATATATTTTTAGCAATGGGTTTGTCAAGGTATTGTAATAATTTGTACCACTGTTTTTTTTTCATTTAAAAATCTAATCTCAATTCAAATGTTGTATTGCTAAGCTTCTGTGGAAGTTCTGATACCTTAATGTTGTCTCTCTTTTTTGGGTATAAAATTTCTTTATAGGATCTGTTTGATCGGATGGAAAAAGAGATGGAAACATTAACCATTCCAGGGCTTGTCGGTTCTGGCCCTGTAGATGAGTTTCGTGTTGCTAAAGATGCTAAAGTTGGATATGATAATAGCACCATTGAAGTAAATGAAACAAGCAGTGATGCCGGTATCAGCAAACAGGCGTCGGAGAAAGGATCTAAGAAGAAAAAAGGAAAATCAGGTGGGAATATTAAGATGGCGCAAGCTGAAACAGGGACAGATAACCAGGAATCTGCCCCAAGTAAATCTAAGAAAAGCCAGAGGAAAGGTAAGGTGTCATCTGGCTCACAAACGTCAGAATCAAAGTTAGGTGCTAGAAATGATGAGGACAGTGTTGGCGGTATTTCTGAAGAATGGGTAATTCAGAAGATTACATCTCTAAATCCTGACTTTGAAGAACAAGGTACCGTGAGATTACTCTTTGCTCGAGTATTGTAGCTGTCTAGCTGTCTATTCCTAACTGCCCTAACTCTCTATTTTTCATTTGTTCCACCACAGGTCTGGATGACCCGGAGATGATTCTGTTGCCTTTAGCAAAACATCTGAGGCCTTTGCTCGTCAATTCATGGAAGGAACGAAAGAAGGCTGCTTTCACTGAAAATACCCAAAAAATAAAAAAACTACTTGATAATTTGCAAAAGAAACTTGATGAGGTAAGTTATGGATATTCATGTCTACTCCCACTATGATGAGCATTAGATACATAGTCCGTCAGCTTTGATTCCTTTGGTCAAACTCTCCAAACCCCAGGTGACCTGTGTGATTCTGTGCAAAATATTTTCTCTCACTGCAATTTGCCGACACCTTAAAATAATTATTTTTTTATTTCAGAGAATGATGTAGTAGGATATCTTATTTCTCGGTGGTGGAGGCACCCATTAGAAAGTGGTCTCATCTGACACACTTCACACAAAAAAATCCTTGTATATGTGGGATGTGGATTCATTTTTCTACAAGTCAAAACTATATATACAATAGGCCAACACTGCTTAAAGTAATACTATGCAATTGTCAATTTGAGTGAGAAAGACAGAAAGTAAAGCCTTAACACCAACATAGCCCTAGAGCCCGATCCACTTACAAGCCAGCCAACAGTGCTTGCCTAAAATCCTGCATTCTCCATTCTTCATTCTGCCAATGATGTCATACAACTGCTTCCGTTCTCTTTGTTGGTTTCTACATACATAAAAAATTCTTTCCTTGAGCAGTC